GGGGCTCGATCCCAGGACTCTGGGATCATGACCTGAGCCGAAGGCAGGCGCTTAACAACTGAGCAACCCAGGCGCCCCTAAATAAATAAAATCTTTAAAAAAAAAAGAATTCATGGATCCTCCCTGTACATTTCTTTGTGATTTTCTGTAAATCTAGAATTATTTCAAAATAAAGTATTTTAAAAGCTGTTGCTTGTTGAAAATTGAATTTCCAAATTATGTATACATCTTTCTGATGAGTTCCAAGGACATTTCTAGGATTGTTTCTAAACATTTGTATTTTACTAAGAGGTGTTTCTTACTGCTCTTTTAGGAGGAATTGAAACAGGATCCATCACAGAGATGTTTGGAGAATTCCGAACTGGGAAGACTCAAATCTGTCATACACTGGCTGTAACATGCCAGGTAAGCTTTTGGGCTCTAACCAAATCAGCAAAAATTAGTTGATTGCTATTTGCAAGCATCTTTTGGGATGGACATTAAGGGCACTTTATCCCTAAGACTCACTCCTACTGCAGAATTCTTCCACATCCTAGAAACTTTCACGTCATTGTTTTCAGATTATTTCATCATTGTTTCAGATGTTTTCTTATCATCCACTATGCCTCCCCTGTTTTCACCTGCCTTCTTCAGTAGTCTAGATTTTATGATTCACCATTAAAGTCATTCCTCAGATATATATTCCCCACCTAGAGAGATGTCGGTCTTAGATGAACCCTTCTCAGAGGCTTCTTTGAGAACTGTCTTTTTTTTTTTTCCTAAGATTTTTTTTTTTTTTTTGAGAGAGCATGACTGCGTGGAGGGGAGAAGCAGACTCCCTGCTGAGCAGGGAGGCCGATGGCAGACTGGCTCCAAGGACTCCGAGATCATGACCTGAGCCAAAGGCAGACGCTTAACCAACTCAGCTACCTAGGCTCCCCATGAGAACTGTCTTTTTAGTGCCTGTTCCTTAATAGCTGATCATACTGGAGAAAAATCATACCATAAAGCTGATTGTCTTTACTTTAAATTCAAGTTGACAGACATCAGATTAACATTCAATACTGCTTAGCAGACCTACTAAATTTGTTGAGGCATTCTTTTTCCCATTCAGTAAGACAGTTCTCATGCTTCGTTTTTTCTTCTCAAACCTTCATGCTCCTCTTGAACGCTCACTCAGCCAATGACCAACCTGTTATTCACATCAAATTTATAAATCCACCTACAATTATACCCATCTTTTCTTATCTTGGGCTACAATGGAAAAAGTGTCCCTTTTCTTTTCAAAACCGCATGCTATCAGTGTGATCTGGTTACTACCTCTGATCACCTTCTCAAGGACTCTACTCCTCCATTTTCTGCTTTACCTCTGTATTAAGTATCTCTTCCAAAACTTTTTTTACTTATAGTTTCATTCATGGGAGGATTTGGAAACAGACACAGTGAATTAATGCCTAAGATCATGTTTTATTGAAATAATAGATTAGGGGGTGGCTCAGTAGTTTAAGTGTCCGACTCTTGATTTCGGCTCAGGTCATGATTTCAGGGTCATGCGATCAAGCCCTGAGCTGGGCGTGAAGCCTGCTTGAGAGTCTCTCTCTCCCTCCACCCTTCCCCCTCCCCCCCCCAAAAAAAAGAGAGAAGAGGCGCCTGGATGTCTCAAAAGGTTAAGCATCTGCCTTTGGCTCAGATCATGATCTCCAGGTCCTGGGATCGAGCCCCACGTTGGGTTCCCAGTTCAGCAGGGAGTCTGCTTCTCCCTCTCCCTCTGCCTCTCCCCCGCTTGTGCATTCTCTGCCTCTTCTGCTCTCTCTCAAATGAATAAATAAAATCTTTTTTAAAAAGAAAAAGGATGCGGGGTGCCTGGGTGGCTCAGTCGTTAAGCGTCTGCCTTCGGCTCAGGTCATGATCCTAGGGTCCTGGGATCGAGCCCCGCATCGGGCTCCCTGCTCAGTGGGAAGCCTGCTTCTCCCTCTCCCACTGCTTGTGTTCCCTCTCTTGCTGTGTCTCTCTCTGTCAAATAAATAAAATCTTTAAAAAAAAAAAAAAAAAGAAAAAGGATGCTAATTCATTAATTACAGAAAGGATTACATTTCACCAGCCTAAGAGCTAGAACTAGAGGTATAGAGAGGATGTTAGATTACGGCTTAAATCTAAACATTATCTGCTCTCATTTGTTCAGATTTTCTTACCTTAATGAAGTGAAACTCTATTACATTAGATCTCTGTCTAATAATGAAGTTACATAAAGTTGAGAGCCACAGATCACAAAAATGAACAGACCATGTTTCTTTAAAGTACTAATTTTAAAATTCAGAGAAGGCAATTTATCATACATACCAATTTTAAATGCATATACCCTTTGACAGAAAATGTGGCTTACACAACTATTCACATATAGTCAAGGATAAATGTACAAGGAATTTGCACCACAGCATTATAAAATGGTGAAAGTTCAAAACAACCTACATCAATGTAAAATAGGAAGAAGAGTTAAATTATGGTACTATGAAAATAGCTAACTTGGTGGTGGTGTTCCCATCCAGTAATACAAGATGACTGCAATGGCACTGAGGGGCAAGACGGAGGAGACAGAATGGGCTGGAGTGTAGAGTATGCGGTCCATCCCCTTGAAATTTGGCTCAATAATACACTGGGACCTTGTCCACTTTCTGTCAGTCTTCCTACCTATACCCAGACCTCTGGGTCTTTGTAGCTGGAAAAGAGCTTCCTCTCTTGCTAGCACTAAAGATAACAGAAAGTGAGAGAAATGGGGATCCTCATTCATCTTAATTCTTTAATTTTTAGCCCTTGAGTGTTAAGATTTTCTCCTCCCCAAAAAACTAAGCATTTGTTGTCCTCTTGGCCAGTGATTCCAAACCTTTCCTTTGTCAAGACCCTCTTTTGTTGTATACATATCCTTTGCTCCTTCCATGGATTCTTAGGATTTAAAAGATTTATCTGCCAACATTTGAAATGATAACAATCATTTTTCCTTTTCCGAATTAACAAAGCCTCTGTAACTGAGCTAAGGTCAGTGCCTTAGAGGTAGAGAATATCATCAGTCCTCGAAGTGCTTTCTGTATGTCAGGCACTGTCTTAACACTTTGTGAGTTACTTAATCTTCAGAACAATCCCATAAGGTGGGTTTTATCTACATTTTAAGGAAAGGACACTGGGATTAATATTCTAAAGTTTACACAGTAATGGCAGAACCACATATGAAGAGTGTTGTTTGAAAATGCATAGGTGATGATCTGGAAGATTACTTCTGGAAGATGGGAGTGATAAAGAAGAGCTTTCGATTTTTACTCATTTCTATATTGTGTGAATTTTTAATACAAGGATATAGTACTTGCATGATTTTTAAAAATATTTTCTCAGAAATAGGAAAAGAAAGAAAATTTGATGCTTCTTGGCCCTTACTGTGAAATGTCCTTAAAGAATTTTCCTCAGAATTTAAAGGTGAATTATTGCTCCAAAGTAGATTGCTAGGGTGGAAACTGCCCTTTAGCATCATTCACATAAAATTTGTAGAACTCAAAGGTGTCTGGCATAGGATGGGTAGCCTAAAACCAAGAATTCCCTAAGTAGCTCATAAGACAATATTGATGGCATTCCTCCCTTTTCTTTCCTTTTTTTTTTTTTTTTTAACTATTTTCCTTTTTCTCCTTTTGTTTATTTTTAACATCTGTAGATACTATTGGAATAAACCCCTTTTTTCTTCTCTCTCGGTCATCCTTTAAACTTACGAAGAATGCCCCTGGGGCATTGCCAAGCCCCTTTAGGGACCCGCAGAAGCAAACTCAGCTTAATAAAGTGAAGTTTAAGTGTGGTCTGGATGTGACAAAATCAATTGGGTATTGGATCAGGGTCTCTAACTTATTAAAGCTAAGGTAGTAAATGATGTTTCAAAGGTTTGTACTCTTGAGAGAATTGTTCGATCTTGTGTTGGTATTCAGTCACAGAATTTTATCACCTACTTTGGACTGTATTTCCAAGCAGTCCAACTCTGGCAAGAGTCTGGCTTTGCATGCTGTGGAACACCAGGAGTTTCATATCTACTACTAGCTGTATTTCTATCAGAAGGGAATGCCTCCTCCTCTCTACTTCTGATTGACTCTTTAAAATGTTTTTTTCCCTTTGCTTTATTGGGGGTGCGTGGGGAAGTTGATTAGTTATACCAAAAGTACAGTGTTAATTTCCACACTGTTCTTTTTGTTCTGTCTAGCTTCCCATTGACCGAGGTGGAGGAGAAGGAAAGGCCATGTACATTGACACTGAGGGTACCTTTAGGCCAGAACGGCTGCTAGCAGTGGCTGAGAGGTAGGTTACTGAATTAGATGAGAGAAATCTTTTTTTTCTTTTAACATTTTATTTATTTGAGAGAGAGAGAGCAAGAGCTGGGGGAACAGAGAGAGAGGGAGAAGCAGGCTCCCCACTTAGCAGGGAGCCAGACACAGAGCTCAATCCCAGGACCCCAGGATCATGACCTGAGCCAAAGGCAGACGCTTAACTGACTGAGCCACCCAAGCGCCCCTAAGATGAGAGAAATCTGGCTGCACCTGTCACTGTAGTGATTGCCAGGGTTCGTATGTCTGAAGAGTGTTTCTTCTCTTACTGGTCTAAATCCCAAAGTTATATGTGTAGTTCAGAAGAATGACCTTCCTTAGAAAAAAAAGTACTCTTTTTTTTTTTTTTAAGATTTTATGTATTTATTTGACAGAGACAGCGAGAGAGGGAACACAAGCAGGGGGAGTGGGAGAAGAAGAAGCAGGCTTCCCGCTGAGCAGGGAGCCCGATGCAGGGCTCGATCCCAGGACTCTGGGATCTTGACCTGAGCCAAAGGTAGACGCTTAATGACTGAACTACCCAGGCGCCCCAAAAAAGCACTCTTTAAAATCTATGAGTTATTGTCAGACTGGATAAAAAACTACATCCAACTATATGCTGTTTTCTAGAGAAACACTGTAGATTGAGAGACATAAATAGGTCGAAAGAAAAAATAATGGGAAAAGATACTGCATCCAAACAGAAACCGTAAGAGAATTGGCTATACTAATATCAGACAGTATAGACTTTAAGACAAAAAAAAAAATACCTTAATAGAGATAAAGAGGAACATTTTATAATTAAAAAGTCAGTTCATTGGGAAAATAGAACAATTACAAACATATCCATACCTTAATAACAGGCTCCAAAATATGTGAAACAAAAACTGACATAATTGAAAAGCAAAATAAGCAATTTAACCATAATGGTTGGGGACTATATCTCACTTCAAAAAACATATAGCTACTGTACCTAATGGTGGAAGTCTGAATGCTTTCTCCTCAAGATCGCAAACAATACAAGGATGTCCACTCTCACCATTTACATTCCATTGAAGGTGGAATATACTGAATTTACTGGAGGTTCTAGTCAATGCAATCAGGTGAGAAAATGAAATCAAAGGCATCCAGATTGGAATGGAAGATGTAGAACTATCTTTATTCACTGATGAAATGGTCCTGTATGTAGAAAATCCTAAGGAATCTGCATATACACAAAACTACTAGAACTAAGTTGAGCAAGGTTGTAGGATACATTGTCACTATGCAAAAAATCCATTGTGTTTCCATATACAAGCAGTATACAATTGAAAAATTAAGAAAACAATTCTGTCATTCACAGCACTGAATTCCATTCACTGTCAAAATGATCAAAAATCAAAATAGAAATAAATTTAACAGAAGACTACAAAACATTGCTGAAAGAAATTGAAGATCTACATAGAGAAACAGTCCATATTCATAAGGATTGGAAGACACAAAATTATTAAAGTTATAATTGTCCCTCAAACTGGTCTAGAAATTCAGCACAATCCTTACTGTAATTTCAGGAAGCATTTGGGCAGAAATCAACAAACTGATTATAAAATTTATATGGAAATGTGTAGGACCCAGAATAGCCAAAACATTCTGGGGTAACGGAGGAGAACAAAATTGGAGGTCTTGGTCTTCTTAATTTTAAAACTTACTATAAAGCAACAATAATTAAGACAGTGTGGTGCTGGAATGGGACAGACATGTGGATCAGTGGAACAGAATTAAGAATTCAGAAGTGAGCTCTTTCATTTATAGTCACTTGATTTTTGACAAAGATGCCAAGGCAATTTAATGGTTCCTTAATAGTTGTCTTTTCAATAAATGGTGCTAATGAAGGTGAATATCAACATGCAAAAAGATAAATTTAGACCCTTACACTATACATAAAATTAACAAAAATGGATAATAGTGTGGTGAATCCTCAAAAAATAAAACATAGAATTATAGTAAAATTCATCAGTTCCACTTTTGAGTATATAAAGAATTGAAACAGGGACTCAGATACTTGTACACTGGTGTTCATAATAGCACTAGTCACAGTAGTCAAAGGTGGAAACACCCGGCTTATTCATCACTGGATAAATGGATAAACAAAATGTCATATAAACATAAAATGGAATAGTAATCTTAAAAAGGGAAATTCTTGGGGCGCCTGGGTGGCTCAGTCGTTAAGCGTCTGCCTTCGGCTCAGGTCATGATCTCAGGGTCCTGGGATCGAGCCCCTCATCGGGCTCCCTGCTCCGTGGGAAGCCTGCTTCTCCCTCTCCCACTCCCCCTGCTTATGTTCCCTCTCTCGCTGTGTCTCTCTCTGTCAAATAAATAAAATCTTTAAAAAAAAAAAGAAATTCTCACACATGCTACAACATGGATGAATCTTAAAAACATGCTAAGTGAAATAAGCCAGTTACAAAAGGACAAAGATTGTAATGATTCCTCTTATACGAAGTACCTGAAGTAGTCAATTTCATAAAGACAGAAAGTAGAACAGTGGTTCCTAGGGGCAGGGAGTGAGGAGAATTGGGGGTTATTATTTGAGGGATAGAGTTTCAGTTTGGGATGATAAAAAGTGGACATGGATTGTGGTGATGGTTGCACAGCATGGAATGTACTTACTCCACTGGAGTATACATTTTAAAAAGCTTAAAATGGTCAATTGTATGTCATGTATATTTATTATTGTTGTATTATTTTATATTATAAATATATATTTGTTTATTCTCTCTGGGAGGAAAAACCAGAGGAAAGCTATTAAAGCTATTACTAAAGCTAAATCTCAAAATAGGTTTAATGTAGTGTATGCTTTTGTAAAGATCAGATTCTCCACATAGAATAGACTTGCTTCTGTAAAAGACTGATAGAATCATAAACATAGAAACTTAGGGTTCTCAAAGAATGCCTTGATTTTGCTTAAACAGATTCTCTTTTAAACTATAACATAAGGGAGTCGGTGTTGTACTTTTGGACTATAATGATTTTAGGTTAACATTAATATGAAAATACTACTTGGATTGAAGTGATATGATTGTCTTTTTGTTTGGGTTGTGGATAGCTTTATTCGGTATCATTTATTCAGAATTTAGGTATAAAAAAAAGTGCTAGGTAAGAGAGGCTTAGTCCTTTCCCTCAAGGAATTTGTAGTCTAGTAAAAGAATGGTAAGGTAGCTTCTCACAAATGCCATAAAGAGGCCTAAACCAAGTTTTCTGGAAGTGCAGAAGAGGAAAATCACATCTATTTGAGAAGTGCAGAGAAGCTTTGTAAAGATGCAGGCATTTAGTTGTGCCTCAATAAATGGATAAAATCAAAATACCTTTGAAGAAATGGGGACCCATTAGGGTGCCTGGGTGGCGCATCAGTTGAGCATCTGACTCTTGATTTTGGCTCAGTTCATGATCTCAGTTATGAGATCAAACCCCATGTGGGGCTCTGTGCTCAGCATGGAATCTGCTTGAGATTCTCTCTCCCTCTGCCTTTGCCCCTTCCCCCTCCTCTCTCTAAAATAAATCTTTAAGGAAAAAAAAAAAAGAAATGCCCCATTATGGTATATTTAATGAGAGTGAAAATTGTCTTACTTGTGAATGCTCAAAGTGTTAAGCATTCATGTCTTAGGTAGCCATTACAGAGGTGGAAAAAATAATTTTTAAAAAATAGGAAATACCTTTATATACCAACAACAAGACAGAAGGAAGAGAAATTAAGGAGTCGATCCCATTTACAATTCACCCAAAACCATAAGATACCTAGCAATAAATCTAACCAAAGAAGCAAAGAATCTGTACTCAGAAAACTATAGAATACTCATGAAAGAAATTGAGGAAGACACAAAGAAATGGAAAAACGTTCCATGCTCATGGACTGGAAAAACAAATATTGTGAAAATGTCTACGCTACCTAGAACAATCTATACATTCAGTGCAATCCCTATCAAAATACCATCAACTTTTTTCAAAGAAATGGAACAAATAATCCTAAAATTTGTATGGAATCAGAAAATACCCCAAATAGCCAGAGGAATGTTGAAAGAGAAAGCAAAGCTGGAAGCATCACAATTCTGGACTTCAAGCTCTATTACAATGCTCTCATCATCAAGACAGTATGGTACTGGCACAAAAACAGACACATAGATCAATGGAACAGAATAGAGAGCCCAGAAATGGACCCTCAACTCTGGTCAACTAATCTTGGACAAAGCAGGAAAGAATGTCCAATGGAAAAAAGACAGTCTCTTCAACAAATGGTGCTGGGAAAATTGGACAGCCACATGCAGAAGAATGAAACTAGACCATTTCCTTACACCACACACAAAAATAGACTCAAAATGGATGAAAGACCTAAATGTGAGACAGGAATCCATCAAAATCCTTGAGAACACAGGCAGCAACCTCTTCGACCTCAGCCGCAGCAACTTCTTCCTAGAAACATCGCCAAAGGCAAGGGAAGCAAGGGCAAAAATGAACTATTGGGACGTCATCAAGATAAAAAGCTTTTGCACAGCAAAGGAAACAGTCAACAAAGCCAAAAGACATCCAACAGAATGGGAGAAGATATTTGCAAATGACATACCAGATAAAGGGCTAGTATCCAAAATCTATAAAGAACTTATCAAACTCAACACCCAAAGAACAAATGATTCAGTCAAGAAATGGGCAGAAGACATGAACAGACATTTCTGCAAAGAAGACATCCAAATGGCCAACAGACACTTGGAAAAGTGCTCAACATCGCTCAGCATCAGGGGAATACAAATCAAAACCTCAATGAGATATCACCTCACACCAGTCAGAATGGCTAAAATTAACAGGTCAGGAAACGACAGATGTTGGCAAGGATGCGGAGAAAGGGGAACCCTCCTACACTGTTGGTGGGAATGCAAGCTGGTGCAGCCACTCTGGAAAACAGTGTGGACGTTCCTCAAAAAGTTGAAAATAGAGCTACCATACGACCCAGCAATTGCACTACTGGGTATTTACCCCAAAGATACAAATGTAGTGATCCAAAGGGACACCTGCACCCCGATGTTAATAGCAATGTCCATAATAGCCAAACTATGGAAAGAGCCTAGATGTCCATCAACAGATGGATAATGAAGATGTGGTATATATATATATACATATACACAGTGGAATATTATGCAGCCATCAAAAAATGAAATCTTGCCATTTGCAACGACGTGGACAGAACTAGAGGGTATTATGCTAAGCAAAATAAGTCAATCGGAGAAAGACAATTATCATATGATCTTACTGATAAGTGGAATTTGAGAAACAAGGCAGAGGATCATAGGGGAACGGAGGGAAAAATGAAATAAGACAAAACCAAAGAGGGAGACAAAACATAAGAGACTCAATCTCAAGAAACAAACTGAGGGTTGCTGGAGTGGTGGGGGGTGGGAGGGATGGGGTGGCTGGGTGATAGACATTGGAGAGGGTATGTGTTATGGTGAGCGCTGTGGATTGTGTAAGACTGATGAATCACAGACCTGTACCCCTGAAACAATACATTGTATGTTAATAAAAAGAAAAAAAATAGCAAATACCTTATTTGCCTTTTTTTTTTTTTTGTGAGAGTGGGAGAGCACGGGGTTGGGGGGGGGCCACTAGAGGGGCAGAGGGAGAAAGAATCCCAAGCCGACTTCACGCCCAGCACTGTGCCTGACGTGGGGCTCCATCACACGACCGTGAGGTATGACCTGAGCTAAAATCAAGAGTTGAACACTTAACTGACTGAGCCACCCAGGCGCCCCTTATTTGCCTTTTTTAAATGCGAAGGAAAAAAAAATCATTGAGGTATAAGATGAATTAAGGTATCAGTTTGTTTTTTTTTTTAGATTTTTTTTTTTTTTTATTTATCTATTTGACAGAGAGATAGAGAGGGAACACAAGCAGGGGGAGTGGGAGAGGGAGAAGCCGGCCTCCCGCGGAGCAGGGAGCCCGATGCGGGGCTCGATCCCAGAACCCTGGGATCATGACCTGAGCCGAAGGCAGACGCTTAACCATCTGAGCCACCCAGGCACCCCTAAGGTATCCGTTTTAATCATACTGGATACATGTCATATCATGTTTTAACTGTAACTAGTTATTAGCAAGGAAGAATAGGAGAAATGAAATCTACTTGTACTTCTTAAAGTTTTGACTGCTTGTTTAGAAGGTTTTATTCCTAGGGGCGCCTGGGTGGCTCATGTGGTAAAGCATCTGACTCTTGATTTCAGCTCAGGTCATAATCTCAGGGTCGTGAGATGGAGTCCGAAGTTGGGTTCTGTGCTGGGCATGGAGCCTGCTGCAGATTCTCTCCCTCTGCCCCTCAAACCCCCCCTCTCCCTCTCTTAAAAAAAAAAAAAGGTTTTATTCCTCTACAACAACAATTTATATGAATTTAATTGATCTTTGAGTGATTCGTTTTGTTTCAGTTCCAATTCTGTCATGTTGCATTGGTTTTTCCAGGAGAACATTTGGAACATGATATTTGGAAATTTGTTTTGGCTCAGGAGTCCTCAAAGACTAAATCTGATTTATCCTGAAGTCCTGTTCAGCAGATCTACTCCAAAGCAGTTGCTGCTGTCATTTCTTTCTAGTTTGCCTGGACTTCTAATAGAAAGGGAATTAATATTCTTTAGCCTTAACACTTCTTACCTAATCAAGCAATCACTTTGCTAGAGATTAATTTCCAGTCTTCCTGAGTTTTCTTTGCAGTCTAAAAATGTTCTCTATTCGCTCCTAGATATGGCCTCTCTGGCAGTGATGTCCTGGATAATGTAGCATATGCTCGAGGGTTCAACACAGACCACCAGACCCAGCTCCTTTATCAAGCATCAGCCATGATGGTAGAATCTAGGTATGTGCTTAGTGGAAGACACTGAATCTTATATAGGCTATTTGGCCAAATTGATAGTAACTTAAAATAGAAATGGGGAGATTTAAGTTTTAGTTCTTAGTCTGACACTGTTGCATTGTGGTTCAGGTCAAGTCACTGCCATAATCCACTTGAACTTATTGGAAACTTTACATGTTATAGTGTCTCAGACACGAATGCTGTACAAATATTTTAATAAAACATTTATGTACAAGTATAACTGAATATGAAAGCTCAAGGTAGTGAGGAAGGGAGCAGAATTTGACACAGGCTCGAAATAGGCTTCATAGATTCCTTGTTCACTGTAGGTATGCACTGCTAATTGTAGACAGTGCCACTGCCCTCTACAGAACGGACTATTCGGGTCGAGGGGAGCTTTCAGCCAGGCAGATGCACTTGGCCAGGTTTCTGCGGATGCTTCTGCGACTTGCTGATGAGGTAAGTTGTGGGATCAGGACAGAGAATGCCTACCTAATTCTCAGGGGCCTTGCTGGGAGGCCAGAACATCAGGGCCTGGTTTCACAGATAGGAAGATATATTAATCATTCATTACTTTGTGGGGAAAGGGGTGGCAGCAGTAAGGTCCTTTGGCCACAAAAAAATGACATTTATCCTTTCTCCATCAGTTTGGTGTAGCAGTGGTAATCACCAACCAGGTGGTAGCCCAAGTGGATGGAGCAGCCATGTTTGCTGCAGATCCTAAAAAACCTATTGGAGGAAATATCATTGCTCATGCTTCAACAACCAGGTAAAGTGATGGGATAGGCGACTTCGTCTTGGAATGTCATATTAACTGATGCAGACATGAAGATACATTTCCATTTAAATCCAGTTAAAGCTACCGTTGTATAATTAGACACATTTGCTAAACATAATTGTCATGCTCTAATATTAGTGCATATATTTGCTTTCATTTTATTTTATTTTATTTTTAAAGATTTTATTTATTTGAGACAGAGAGAATGAGAGACAGAGAGCATGAGAGGGAGGAGGGTCAGAGGGAGAAGCAGACTCCCTGCCGAGCAGGGAGCCC